TTAACCAGAAATATAATATTGAGATTAGATAAAATTATAAATAATTCGAGTAAAATATAACGAAAATAAAAAAACCAGATTTATTTACAATAGAATGAAACATTCAATAGTTTCAGTATTGTAACCTCAAGCGAATTCATGAGTGAATCCTAAAGTCCAAATATTAACATTAAAATGATTTTCAGGAAAAATAATGTAATTTGTTTTACAAGTGTAATAGAATAGGCAGGTCAATTTCTCATAAGAGAAATGTTAAGCTGTCCCATATTTCAAGAATCAATTTATAAGCACAGTCAATAATTACTTGCGGTAAATTTTTGTGGCTAGTTATTTGACATGATATTCGTGTCATTCAATAAGAAATTAGCATTTAAAAAATACTTTGCCTGCTCCACCCCGAGGCAATTACCTAGCAGACCAATCAGAAAATTCTTTGCGGTTTACTTACGTCGTCGAATACAAGCTTGCAACGGGGCTTAAATTTAAGCTTCCGTCTTTTTCTATGTAAATTAAAACTGCCAGACCCGAAACAGACCATCATTTAGTGAAGTAGAGACAGTATAGTAAAGTTAATTTTTGACTTTGAAAAGAAATTCTTTGCAGAGTATTTTTTGTGACAACTCAATTTATTTATCCAAGTTATATTTAATTTTTTATAACTATTACAGTATTTTCTTATTGGGTATAAATAAAATGTGAAAATGTTTACATAAATTGTAAATTAAAAATTTTTAAGTAAAATGAATAATTTTCATCAAAAAAGTTCACATAAAATTTCACGAAGGTTTTACTAAAAATAATGAAAGGATGTAGTCAAATAGGATCACACTTTTTTACAATATTCATAAATAAATTTTCATTATTCATTTCTCGAAATCAGGATCTACAGGAACTTTTTACTTGATCCAATACCTACGATTATATTATTATACCTATGTAGTTAAACTTTTACAGTCATTAATAGGTCCAGTTATTTTAGTTTCTAAAAGACCAGTAATCTAGATTCTAGATAGCGGTTAAACATTCGGTCTGTCTAAGAAAAGCCATTTATTTCAGTTTATTTCTCTTTGAAACTTTCCAATATAGAGAATGTTAAGAGGTTAATAATACTGTGACCTACTTGAATTTCTAAACATTCCGTTTTTGAACCTATGAAAATTGTAGTAATTTTTACGATTCGATCATGGGGTCGTTCATTCATAGGCAGCGTATCAATTCACATATGCTTTGAAATCATATGTCTTATTCGTCAGAAATATTTGTTGTTTGAGAAACGTAACCTAAAAACCCAAAAATATCCTTGAAACCGTAGGGTTGTTTTCAAATTATTATTTAATAGCGTTCAGTGTCTATGCATGAGCTGTATAAAAATGCTATTCTTTTTCAAAATCAAAGTGGTTATAAATGGCACGTTGATTACCCTTGTTATTCAAAATTTTATGATTCTGTACACATGTACATTGTGCAGTTCATGAAAAAGAAAAATAGTAGAATTCCTGCACACGGTATAGTAAGAAATATTTCTTTCGCTTATTAATTTGCTCGATTCACTGTGTTGATTAAATATACGAGCGTAGAATTACGCAGGAACTGAAGTGTGGAAATTTAGATCTTGCGAACCGACATACATGACTTAAAGCGACGTTGAACGGTACGAGGTCAGCGTAATGTTGACTCGAAGAAATAAATACGAAAGTAGAACCCATTTCTCTTGCACTCATGTGACGTCTACTTTTCTCAAACTCACCATATTGCACCATCAATTTTTAATGAAACACATAAATTCTGACTGCTTTGCTGAACTTGGAAGATATCTGTTCCTGGTAATTTTATCTCTAATTAATTTAATAATTTCACTATTATATAAAGTAATTTTATTACAACTTAGGTGAAGAAACGAAAACCTCTTAGTAAAAACTAAAATAAGATATCTGTTCAACAACGTCATGTACCACAATTTCATGAGCAAACGGTAACTAAGAGTTTAATACAAGTTTGTGCTAAAATTGCATATGCTAAACGTATTGTTTTATTTCATATACAGCGATAATTATTAATACTATTAATATAACGAGATATGCTATTTACATTGAACCTGTCCTTATTTAACGAGAAGAAATGACAACCCAAACAATGTAATTAATATCGACAAATTAATTATTCTGGGACTGTATGCGGTGTAGAATATCATTGCAAAGTATCGCATTACAAATTATTCCGGCACACATGTTCCAATCTATCGGATAACTTCTGTCGACAAATTAGAATCTGTGTACAAAGAGGTCGAATTGAATTATGCATACGTTTGTTGATCTTGCTATTAAAAATAGCACGATTTAATATACAATTAATAGAATATTTTTAACGCGTTAAATAATTATTCTCTCAGACTTTAGAACGACCATTTTGTTTGTTATCGACCTGCATTTATAAATGATTTAAAACTTTCGTTGCATTTTGAGACACAACATAATTACCAAAAAAAATACCTAAAAATTCTCCGTACATAAAATTTTAACGAAAAGTAAAAAATAACCTAATAATTTTATTAGAATTACAACCCTTTAAAATCTGCTAATTCTATTTTACAGTCTGCATTAAAATTTTCGCGCAATTCGTATAAAAGGAAATAACTATGAACTGAATAAAATTCATTATGACGCTGAGTATATAGAGACTTCCATTTATGAAAGATAAATTATAAGGTAAATACAATTGAAAACTGTTCTCTCGTATTCAGTTTTAAAAGCATGTTTCCTACAAATAACACTAGGATTCAAAAGATCCTTTGTGCCAGGTTTTATAACAAGTAAAGTATTCACTTGTACGGGAAGAATTAAAAGAGAAACAGGTAATTTGCAGAAGAGAATTCAGTATACAAAGTGTTTGATAATATAGACCCCTCGTAAGAATTTCAAAACAATGGCACAGAGAAACATTTTATTATATTTTATTACCAACGCGATGACACGTATCAACATTTTATACATTCTTGTCAAGAAATGATGTATATTACTTTTCGAGAAAGCCTCAGTTCTTTTTAATAAAATTCATTTTTAATATCATATGAAATACTGAATGTATGGAATTATATTCACCTTGCATATTAAGATGAATTCGTGCATGTGCGAGATCATAACCTCTAAAACTATATTCATCAATTTATTCTAAATTGTAAAAGTTTACTCTTGATTTATTTTTAAATTATTCTCAGTTTCGATAGTTTTATCAATTTTTAATTACAATGTATTAATAAATACAATATTAATATGTCGAATTTATTTTCTTCATTTCCGAAGAAAATGGTCTTGAAGGTTGTAAATCCAAAAATTAGTAAATTTATCTCGACACATGGCTTCATACAACATTAAAAAATATGTAGCAACCTATTTAAGAAACTGTCATTTTTTTTCAATAAAAATATAAAAAATTGATATAAGTGTTGTAAATAATATAGAACAATTCTCTTCCATTTTTTTGAAATCATACAGGAAAACCATTGTAATATATTTTGTAAAGCTTCCATTTTTTTCCGAAGTATTTTGTCCATTCTGCACCAACTTTTAAAGTTTCCTTTCAAAAAAATCTTGCAACTTTGATCAATAAAGTTCGGTCAGCATCTTTTTGTGAAACCCCTCGAAATATCCTGCATACTTTCGGACGGTTTTGTGAACCCGTACAAAAATAGCAGTTCGATAGAACGATTTTTAAAAAGAAGGAACAATTCTAGCTTGCCAACTTTGCTTATATTTTTCTAACGTTTGATTTGGTGTTGCTTTAGTGACAGAAAATTAATAACTGGAATAGAAGCAAATATTTTTTCGTTCAATTTCAACTGCATGGTTTTTCAATTAGATTTTCAGAATGCTTTTACAGTAAAAGTTTAATCTAGGAAGGATCTGAAAATTTACTTACAAAAATGTCGGTGAAATGTACTTCTGGGAAAAAAATTGTTTTACACCGTTGATAACATTTTGCGCTCAAAATCATGGTATGCAAAAGTAGAAAGTGGAAAATAGAGTTGGAAACCAAATAAATTCATGGAAATCCTGGAAACTTGGAACAAAGTTTACAGATAAAATTTCATACATTATAAAACTTTATGCGTAAACTTAATAAACTCGAAACAACCTTCAAGATTACATAATTTGTTAATAGAAGTTTTAGTTGTGAGATGAATTAAGTTGGACAGGAATTGTTCTGTGATTGTATTGCGAATTGAAATTAAATTAAATCATTGTTCAGATAAGATGGAAGAAATATATTTGGAGGGGAATTTCTAAATACTGCAAAGTGACAAACGTCGTCTACTTTACTATGCCGCTGATAATAGAAGTGAATGACCTATTAACCAATGATATTTCCGGAGGAACCGTAATTTTGACATTTCCGGCTAAATGTGCCCATCAGCTTGCAAAATCTTCGCTTCAGCATTCAACCAACGAGGATTAAAATATATCCAAATTTTCGCGTAAATTATTTGATCTACTTACTTGCATATAAATTCAGCTCCTGTCAACTTAACGAACATTTCAAGAATATAAGATGTGACATGGAACTATAAATTTCAGGTACATGTTGATAATTAAGAACACCGAAGACGAATGTAATTTGCAATATTCAGACACGTAGCAAGATTCTGTTTAATACATAATGGAGAACGTCGGTTTCTGACTATGTTAGCGATTAAGTATTGAAATTAATTATCAACATTAAAATTGCAAAAATAGCAATTGTAATCATTAACAAATTTTTGGACGAATTTTGGAAATAATCGTGATTCGCATATGACATTTTGTAATCATTAATTTGTAATTCCTGATCGAATGATTAATCTCTTTAATCGAAATTAGCTGCATTAATGAATTATTCAATGAATAGGGATTTTGCGTGTACTATTCAGTATCGTTTTAATTACTGAAATACCAAATGTCATATATTAAAATTTTAGTGCTAAAATTTCACTTCATTTTACGTGCACCATTTTCTGTTTGCGACAGTTCCACCGGACATCTTGGATTCTGATACAAGCACTGATATGATGGTACGAGAAGGTAGCAACGTAACTCTACACTGTACAGCGACAGGATCACCAGAACCTAACATCACCTGGCGACGAGAAGATGGTCAATTGATACGTTTGTCAAATGGCAAGCAAGGTCAGTATTCTTCATCAAATCATGTGCTATAAATGTAGCTAACAATTTACAGATAAAGAGCTCTAGTAGGGAGGCTGTAGGTAGAATAATTCATCAGAAAGGTACATAATTGTAACGGTGTTATTATTAAGATGTTAACTACATTTCTCTATTCTCTGGTTTTATAAATAATACTTAAGCAGAAAATATCAAAGATATTATTTTCAATATAGCAACATACTTGTTACTTTTTTAACTTGCCACTTTACATATTTATAAAAATGTTAAAAATAATTATTAACAAAAAGTAAATTCTCCGTCTACCTTATTCTTCTTTCTTCTGAAGTTACCTTGATTGATTTGACACAGCAGTACTTTGCGCTTTTATAACAATATGATGAAATTGTTGTAGATAATTAATTTAATAATCGCGATGAAATTTAGTTAATTTAATAGTTATAATGAAATTGATTGTCTCTAAAATTGAATGCACCGAGAGATACTCTATTAATATATCAAGTACTCTATCAAGTGATCAAACTCTCCTATAATATTATCAAAATATGTTTCATCATCAGAAAAACACCTAGAACATCTATTTCATTGTTGCATATGATTCCAATTTCATAAAAATTTTTTTTAATTAAAAGAGATTTCTTGATGCTCTCTACAGGAATATCTGCTTCATTTTCACTTGAATCTAAAAAGTGTTTAATACCACAATAACGTTTCATTTTGTTCAGTAGAGGTCGTAAAATAATTTCATGCCGAAACCAAATAACTATTATTCCATGAGAACAAAACACGTTCATAGCTTCAATATTGCATTTTTTTTTCAAAATCAAATTCCCCAAAAACCGGAGCTAGAAAGCGGAATACAGTTCGCAGAATCAGAATCAGTGCACCAAAGTTAACAAAAAGCGGCCAGTGAAAATGACATTTTGAAATGACTCACATGTCAGCGAGCAGAATTGTAATCATGTATCCGGACATCATTGTATTAGCTATTGCAGTCATGCGGAATATACAGTTGAAAGAGAGTTTCAATCTTTGACTGTCACTGATGGAAGTATTGAAAAATATCAAAGAATAATCGAATGGTATTTGTAAAAGAACACCTGGAGATTCGTTTTTTCGAGTGCAAAATTTTTCCACGTATGAGTTTAGTAATCGCTTTAATGTCTACCAAATTTCCGGTTACTGCAATTGTACTGATTCGATGCGAAGTTACTTGAAAATCCATTTTACATGCTTTATTGAACAATTCGTAACTGTATTGTACTCGCAAGTAGGGCTTCATGAAAGTTTCATATGATATAGGTGGACATGTGTAGGGTGGACAGGCAGTTTAATTAAAACGCGAGAATTAGAAATGAAGACTTTAAATTGTTGATGAGAAAGTGATTAGTTAATTAAAGGAACAGTAAGCTTGTATTTTATGTATATACTTGAACTTTATTATCCCTGACATTTATCAATGTTTTTTTTTTAAATTAACTCAATCTTCTTGAAACCAATTTTCTCAAAATTAATATTCCATATAGAAACATCTTGAAATAACGTTTAAAATAATGTTATTCATTAGGAACGAAAGTATAAACACTGTCACATCTGATTTCGCCATATGTGGATTCCAGGTTCTTCAAAATACAGACTTTGAAAGTTAAATCTTGATTAAAGTTTTTCTGCTTATTACATTTATTGTTGTAAATAACAATAGATTTATTACGGTAGAATGGTTAAATGAAAAGAAGTTTGGCCACATCCAGTAGTTAATTTCAGTCAGTGTCTAACTCCGAAGTGTCGCAAGCTCCGAGTGTTAGGTTAACGTAAGCGATAAACTCATGAAGTTCGGTGGGTCTTGGAAAACATGCAACAAACTTGAAATTACTAAGCACGGACAATCCATTTATTACGTAGCGGCAGAAGGCCACTGGTAAACATTCGAAGTTTGTCTAAAATTTCTAATTAAACTCAATGGTTTATGAGACTATTGTCATATCGCAGCTTCGGTGTTAAACATCTATAATGATATATGTATAAAGTGTTCCATATATCTGTAGCTGATTATGAAATAAAATATGCAATCCTGAATCATTGAAAAAGTGTTTTCAGTAAATTTTACTGTATTTCAATGTGTTATTAATACAAATGTTTATTACATATATTTTTTTCAGTGTCACAAAGATTAATCAAAAATCAACAAATGATCAATAAATTTTCCGTCTCATAGTTCTAAAATATGTTAACAGTAAACTAACAAACTTATGTTATAAATATAGACTAATAAAGATTATGGAAGCATGTCGCTGCAAATAAATAAATAATTATAATGTGTTTATCGAGACCATGTTTACTAGTTGAGGTTGTTATAGATAAGCAGTGTTTGTGATAATACCACTAAGTTAGTAATAGGAATCAGGGCAATCTCTCTAGGCAGTATGATACATAACAACCCAAACAAACAAGATGAGTGACATGATGTACCGCTTTTGGTAGCCAGCAAAGCAGAGATTGAACCACCTTTATTATTTAAGGTGCCTACTTTGTTAGATCTTTAATGAAGCAAAACAACGATCTTTTATTGAAAACACATTTATCAGTATTTAATCAGGACGAAGTATTCTTTCTTGAGTGTCACTGTAGACAGATGAAGTTTAGTACAGGAGTACATATTTATAATTTTATATATCTGTACATTTAAACATTTATAACTTTATACATCTGTACATTTAAACATTTATAATTTGCTTATAATTTATGCAGTTAGCTATAATATTAGTGGAAATATTAATATAATATAAATTTGTATGCTATTTCTGGTAAATATATTTATCTAATAGTTACTAGGATTATGTGGTCTAGACCATATGTGGAAACAAACAACGCAGAAACTACAATCGTAAGCTAGAAAATCAACAAAATGGATCCAAACAAACCCAGTTACACGAAATGCTATTGAACACATACTGGTAACTATCCCCAAATACAGTGTGAAGAGGAAACAACATAACTCACCAAATTCACTGACTTGCGTGAAATAGATTCCAGTAGAAAAGTTCTGTTTCATGAAAGATATTGACCTGTTAGCTTTAGGAACGATTGACTCTAGGTAATCCAATTGTGGTCACTTAATAACCTACAAGGTAGTGACCTTAAATACTTAAGTAGAAAAATCAGTCATATTCAATGATTAATAAAATCTTTATCTTAAATTTTGTGGATTTTATCAGTGACTTAGGTGCACCCTTATTGCAACGAAAAATTACCTAAGAATACTAACAATACTAAAAACTGACATTAATAACTAGGAACACTAACAATACCAAATATACTAAAAAGTTGAGACCCGAACTTGAAGCTAAAAGTTGAAAACAATACATCATTTTAATGTACTGCTGCCATACTCTGGTTTCCCTCACAGGTCTCCAACCTAACCTATATTTATATTTACTCTTAGAACATACCGATACCATTTATCGGAAAACTTAAAACACTCTCAGCAAACACAATAGTGACTGATCGACGGTTCAAAGTACTATTGGAGATTAATACTATTTGTTCTGGTTGCACGAACAACTTGATTGATTCCATCCTCGTATAAATTGGATTACAGAACTAAATAACTGAATTTTCTTAACCTGCATCGCATCGTCTGGCCGTCTTCAAGATTTATAAACCTAAATCCGTAGCTTTCAAATATCCATGTTAAACTGTGAAAATATATTCGCCAGATTCGCGGTGCACTAACCGAGTCTTGTACTCTCTGGGGAGGGCAAACGCACCGCGTTCGAGCAAGGCCAATAGGTTAGAGGGTGGTGATACGTTTGCATAGGTGGAGAAGATCTCCTATATTTGCATTGAAATTGGCAAACACCGAGAGGGTGCTATGCGTTCCCAGATTCGCGTGGCTGCCTTTTGCGTCCAGCTACAATGAAACATCCGATCTATTATGAGTTTTCTGCATCAAACGAATGTATTTGATCCACGACATAAATGAATTTCGATTCATAACACTTTACCGCTTGGAATTTAATATCCGACTACTCTTCACAACTGATTAATAAATTTTCGATTATTGATAAGCTCGGATGTGGCAATCTGAGTAACAAGGTTTAGGTACAAATGTTTGATGTGCCTCAACAATCGTATAAGCAACGAAATGATTTACAAAAATAAACGTAACACTTTTTCGTATTAAGCTATTTTTAGGGATTTCTTTTTCTGTTTTTACGAATTTCAACATTCTTCAAGAAAGATTCTGTACTGTAAGAAGATTCTATGAAGATATCGATTAATATTCAAGTACTTCAGTATCGGATGTTATAAATTAAATGCAGTTATTAAAATTGTAGTTTTATTATTCTGACACATATTCCGTGAAAGAGTTTTAAAGTAAACTCTAAGAATAGTAACCGGTGTAAAAGAATACATCCGACTTAATATTTCTTTGTTTATAAGCTCACCGCTGTGTACTAATTTAAAATGATAACGGGCTTATTAAACAAGCATTTTAATTAAGTGGCCAGTGTTTCGTAAGAAAAGAAACGCGTTAATTTCTTACGGTTTTCCTTTCGCATTCGACTTCGTTCAGTTTGTTAGTCGGACGCAAATATTCCAGCAGATTTAATTGTGGTAAATGGATGGACGTTGACTGCCTCGACTTCCGGATAAGTAAACTAAATTTGCGCTCGTGCACAGAAGACAACACCCAAACTGTGTTATTCCAGCTGTCTGTTTCTGTAAATTTCTGGTCTCAGACTTTAACCACGGAAAGGAAAAACTACATGCAACGCTTTCCTCAAAGTTACCACTGTGCTTATTTTTGTCTATAACTTTTGATCGCTGTTTCTAATAAATATTTCACGAAATCAGAGGAAGTTATATATTTTACCTACAAGTGGTGGATATTTTGTTATTTCGGTGCAACGTGTTGACTGTGATTGGTTGGGGGTTGAATTCTAGTTTTGATTAGTTTGGAAGAGTGAAAACGAAATAGAAGATATTAGTCGAAATCTAGTCAGGTAAAAATATATCATGAGTGTCACGAAAGATTTAGAACTGTTTGTTCATATGTAGCTTTATGGTGCCACTTAATTTTTAATAATTCATTTGGTTACTTCACTACAGTCCAATACTTACAATAATTAGTACATTAAAATTGATATAGATCACAAAATTCGCAAAGCTAGAATTCAGTTGCAATTTAAAGCAACTTTGAAACTGTACAGAAAAAGTCAAGTATATCATAAAAGAGCAGATAAATTGCTTTAAAGACTCGTCATTAAAGTTTAAATAAATTAGAGCAGTATTAGGATAATGAACACAAGTATATATTATCGTTAAATAAACACATGGGTCCATATTTTTCATCCTTTGGGAGATAAATGGCAACATAATTTTCTGTTTCGTGAGAAGTGCATTTGCGTAAAAGTTGCGAATCCGGTGAGCTACATTCGGTCAAACATTTAATGTACTCTTACAGTACCTCGCATTTGTTCATTTCTGTAATAAATTAAAGGTCGTGGATTCATTTCCGTAATTTTTCATACACTTTGTACGTTTATAAACTATTTTATTTATAAACTTGACTTTGATATTGCTGTGTTTTATAAATATAATCGATAATAAACAGGAAGATGGAATGCAATGTTACGTGACATGTATTTAAGAATGTCATAAGTATATAAATTAAATAAATTGTAAATTAGAAATGATATTCTATTAATTTACTAGTATAAATTATTATATGCATAATTTTTGTTAGAACTCTTAAAAATACTTAAAACTTTGAATTGCATTTAAATTTACATAAAATATGTTTAATTATATTTAAGCAAAATAATTTTAAGTGACACATAATGTTTCGTTCTAACTTATAGGTAAATGACGACTTCATTTCTAGTAACAGACAAATTGAAATTATAAATGTATGACAAAAGTAATTACAAATTTCCGAAAATGTCTTAAAGTATATAATATATGAAATTGTAAATGAAAGAATTTTATAAATGAAGCTTACAAATAAATTTTCATCGGAAATAATTATAATCCATACAGATGTTAAAAGAGGAATTAAAATATGAATCTAGTAGTTGTTAAAAGAAGAGAAAAGCGCTGTGCAAATACATTTTTTAGTTAATTTTGAATGTTTAAAACTTATATCCAAGATTTGAAAGTACGAGACTTAATTGTACGTTTGATTGTTCTACGAAACAAGGCGAAGAAGAAAATTTCGATGCAGTTTTCATAGCATTCGAGATAACAGCGTCCGGAAATATAACAACGGTGAAAAGTTGCTTGAACCCGTTTCAAAAATTTCACGCTCGTACACCAAACTATCTGAAACTCTAACTTTCGTGAAATATCCGGGGAAAAAAAGTATTCAGGAAGCGAGCAGCATCACATCGTTCTACACACGAAATCGGTTTATATGGAGAAATTTTTCGATTTAAACGTTCCTTTTACGTCGTAATAATATCATCGCTAGTAACTGTTCTTTCAATCATGCGTTTCACGTTTAAATAGTATCGATTACTTCAACGAAATGGTGCTCGAGTTAACTCTACAAATACAATTATTTACAAATTTAAAAAAAATTTTGTGTTCATGAAATGGAACGAATATTTATTTTGTAATTATGTATGTATTATAAAGTCAGAAAATTTTATGTATGAAAATGAAATTCGAATATTTTATTTATTTGAAATTATTCTGTTTTCAACAATTTTTATTTTTTATGTATTGTTCTTCTTATTAGAGTTTTACATATATTTGCAGATTGATTACATTTAAAATTGAATTAGATGTAATTTGAATTAGAGAATTTTTGTACTTTGTACCGAAAATTAGTGTGATTTTTTTTATCGTAGACCATCAGTTATATGTTTCAATAGTTTTAATATTTTTATATATTTTCAATATATAAGACCAATAGTTTTGTTACAACGTAACTACGCATATCGAGTTTTCACATATAGAACCATTCTCCTATTTTTTCATATCCACTTCACATATTATACGGGTTTTTTAGTTTGGACATGCCGTGTAAATGGAAACCCGAATATAAAATATTTTAGTGCGTTTTGAAATCGGTGAACTCGTTAATGTTTTAATATCGATATTTATGTTACAGTGTCGAACGTTGATGGACCAAATTTTGTTATTACCAAAGTAAATCGAACACACATGGGATCGTATCTTTGCATCGCGTCCAATGGGGTCCCACCTTCAGTTAGCAAAAGGATTATGCTTATTGTTCAGTGTAAGTATTTCGATGTACTTCTGCAGTTCTGTATAAGATTTTAATAGCTTTATTATTCTTGATATTAAAATAAGACATGATGAGATGAGATAAGATAAAGTAAGATAAAATGAGAGAAAATGAGATGAAATGAGATAAAATAAGATAGAGTGAGATAGAGTAAGATAAAATAATATTAACCCCTCTAAAAAATCTATCGATTTTGATCGACACCATATTGAAATTCAATCGTGATCATATTATAATCCACCATTAATTATTCACCACCAAAATTCTGACAGTGGAATGAAATTTTCTTTTGTAATTCAACAGTATAATTTCATAACTGTTCAAACTCGTATTCATTATGATGTTTGCACAGGTTATTACCGGTAATATGTTTTGGAACCATAATTTATTAACGTGCTGCATAATTCTTCGTAAATGTATCAGAATGAATGCGTTGAAACGAACTCGTTGAATTTCATAAACCCTTATGAATTTTGTTCCGTTAAAGTTAATTAAGTTATCGGACATTGGTGCATGTATTTATAAAACTCACTACATTTTCGTAATTTTACGATTTTATCTATAGCTTCAGTTCTTGAATAGTCGAGTCAATTTTTTAAACAAAATGTTATTTTTTAGTGATGTTGAAGTTTACAGAAAAGCTTGTTTTTCCACTTCCAGTTCCTCCAATGATTTGGGTGCAAAATCAATTGGTAGGTGCTAGAGAGGGTCAGCGGTTGACTTTGGAGTGCCACTCGGAAGCTTATCCCAAATCCATCAATTATTGGACAAGGGATAAGGACGAAATAGTTCCAAAAGGTAGGTACGAACAATGTTTCACTGTTTTTTCAAAGTGTGTACACTAATTACGTATGCAAAGCCACAGTCGTGATTTACATTCTCGTTTATCCAAGATTCGTATAATGGTAATTCGAAATTCTTGCTTGTAAATCTTTGAATGAATTATCAGACTTTCTGATACTTGTTCAAGATAAAATTTCAGACTTCTAGAAATACAAAACTTTAAGTGTCCAATTATTGAAACATATGTAACTGATAATATATATGGATTAACATATGTACATATGTACATGACACATATGTACCTGCACCACATAATACATGTATCACATAATAAAACATCATCAGGTACCTGTACCACATAATACATGTATCACATAATAAAACATCATCAGGTACATGTGTCATGTAACATATGTACATATGTTAATCCATATACATATATTATCAGTTACATATGCGTCACGATGTTAATGATGATGTTACATGACACGTATGTACCTGATGATCTTTTATTTAAATTAACTATTCCTAATCGCTAATTACTTTTTCCTTTGCTATCATTTCCTAAGAAGTTAATATTCTAAAAATTGGTTAAAGTCGATGGTCACTTCAGCACACGTTTCACCAAAGTTACAGAAAAAGAGCAATTCGCTTTCTCTTCGGGAATAATTTCCCAAGTAATTACTGGCCCATTGCCAATCGCAAGCTGTAAGCATGCAACTATTGTACTTATTCTCCTTGTATATTCACGGTGAAGAAAAGTAACCAGGTATAACGAGTCGTTTGAATAATGAAAGCTCCATGGTGAACGCATAAACACACGTACCTGCGAAGCGCGAGTATAAACGTTCCGCTCTGCTTTATGCTCCGTCTATAAAAGGCAGCTTTAGTACTTTCCATCGATCCACCGTTCCTTTCAGATCTTTGTATTTTCCACGTATCATGATGTGTTTGCTCGTGGTTCGCGTCAAACATATACATGTATACACATTGGTTGCAACATTGCCTGATACTTCTCTTTTTCGTCCGGGTAAGGTCACGATACGTCACCCTTCGCATTATCCGAAATTTTTTACGTGCATTAAGAAGACTTAATATCTAGATACAATACACGAACTTTGGCCAAATTTTCAGTTCCATCAATCAAGTTGTGTTGGACAATTTTGCAAATATGTAACTGTTTATTTTGTGATTGGGGAACAAAATTATTTTGAAACGTTAATTTTATGGCTGCAGGGCAGCTTAATCGGCTCACGTCCTAGTTTGCTGCGTTACATAGACACGCAATATAATTCATTTCATTATTTTCCTAGGGAAAATTCATGAAAACAGTAAATAGTTTATAAAATCAAAATTGAACTGTATTTGTGTACTGACATTAAACACTTCAATTAATTATTCTATATACATAAGACATATTGTTCATTCTTGAAAGAAATATGGAATATTAAATGTAATTAATATAAGGCTTTTAGCAGAACATTTGCTTACTCGCTTTATAAATATTTTCATGAATTTCAATGAATTTTTTAACGATCTGAAATTTCAATTTTTTTTAACATATTACAAAATTGGAATTATTGTCAGTACAAATCTAATTTTATCGTTATAAACAGAATCAATATTTGTCCATCATATATTGATCATAAATATATTACAAGAATATACATATATCTATTGCAAGAATATGCGATTTCATGTATGCACACACGTTCCGAAAGATTGAAGTTTCCAGTATGTTATTAATTTTACTAGGTCGAGTGTTCGTTGATTACGGTATATATACAATTATACCATGTACGCATATCTGTACCACACATAAAAGATTTGAAAGAAGCAGGTTTCTTTTTAACCGACTTCAAAAAAGGGTTGCCTGTTCGTCGCGTATGTTTGTACATATGTGCACGTTTTTCTTGGAACCTATTAGAGGGACTTTGATGCTCCTTTTACTACCCTGTAGGGTGGTTCTTCTAGATTCTAAAAGGTTTTAGTTTATCAAACATCATAGTAGAACTTAAGGGTTCTGAGTTGTGAATTACAGTGTGCGTAAAGGTAACGAGTCTTTCAAACTCATAATTCGTGATCTCGTGCTTTATATCGAAAATTATGCTGTAGTAATTTTTGAAGTCCTATTTTTTTCTTTAATTATATTTACTTTGATAATACAAATTGTACTCTGCGTTGGAAAAAATATTTTTACTTAATTGAGTACAAAATGAGATTTCGTCCTGATGGGTTGGGAGCAACAATGACTGTAACTGAACAAAAATATTATGGTTCTTTAATGCTTATCATGAAGAAGCTAAATTTGAGTGAAATGGTAGGAAAATCAGTATACTTTCTTATGACAATAATCTGATTTCTGTATTTTTAAAAGGTGATTGAAAAGTAGGCCATAAAAATGTTACTTCTATTTTGTACCTTTCTCTGTAGATATTTTTGTATAAACTCATATGAACTTATACTTGTATGCAAGTTTAGACTTATTCAAGTTTATACTCATACCTGAGTATCAAAACTTGATGTTGTTACTGTAATTCTATACTGCTCGATACATATAAATGAGTTTATGTTCATCTTATCTGAATTCATACTCGGTTCAATTTATATTCATATATGTGTTCAGACTCATTTCAATTTATACTCATAAATGAATACAAATATATCAATGATGAGTATATGCTCATTTAAATGTACCAAACAGTACATCATCACAGTAACAAAATCAAGTAACCAGTTTTGATCCTGCAAAGCTCGAGACCCCAAACGCGGAGTCAATTTAGTTATCATTCTTGAAAACGCTGCAGTTCAGCAGTCACCGATACCCTAATCAGGGAGACACATTAACTAGTTTCGATCATTCGAAAAACTCAGCCACATTTCAGGATTAGTTACAGTTCAATCAGAGAGTCGCACTGGACACAGTTACAGTTCTTGAGTTTACAAACTAATCCCGCAAACCCTTAGACCAGTGGTGAGCAATGGGTCAACCTCCCCGAGTAACGTGATACCTTGTAACCCAAACAAACAAGACTGATGTGAAGCGACATACCGCTTTGAGCTGTTGGTTCAACGGATTTTTGGATCTGTAATTCAGTAGTAACTTCCTGAAATCATTTTCCATAATTATCGTACAAGTTTTGGGTAGAAATTTTTAAATGGTCTAGAAATGAAAATTATGTTTGAGTGTTGAAGAGTTGAAATAAAAATTGAAAACGTTCGAGTGTGAACATTTGGAAATAGTTAAGAAAGTTTGTGCGTTGAAATTTTGAAATAAAAATTAAGAACGTTTGAAGAAGTTGAAGTGATTAAGCATGTGAATCTGAGTAATAATTCATGGTCATCAAACATGATGAATTTCTTCAAGATACAAACGTGAAAAATGTATCTGTTCACCAGAAGATCAGCTTTATTCGGTTCTCTTTTGATACTCTGTATATTCGAAACCGATGATTAACTCCGCGATTCATTGTGGACAAAATAAAACCAAAAAATAAAAAACCTGTCCGTTATATTTCTATCGAAATTTCGAAATGGACAATGAAGCTCTAAAAGTGCACATAATATCCGAAACAGTACCGAGGATGTTGGGAACTTATCCAACATAAATATCGGTAAAAGGGTTAGCATTGAAATAAATGTAACGTGATTTTACCCAAATTATTCGTAACAAATCGAGTTTCATGTTACCTCGAAAAACTTGATAACGAAATACCAATTACATGATTTTCAATAGCCATCAAATATTCAGAGTCGATTGTAGTGCAAACGTCTGCATTCAATTGCATCTTGTGACATGAACTAGATATAATCAGATCGAAACTACAGACAGCTATTAGCTTTGTATTTCAACTGCTTTGCGAGATTTAGCGACGATAAAATTTACAATTGAGAATCGGTAGAGTAAGAATGCGATGAAGTATACGACTGTTCAACTGAGAATGTTTCATACTATTTTTATTATTCTTGGGAACGAAGAATGTTTTATACTATTTTTATTGTTCTTGCAAGTTAACGATGTTTCATATTATTTTTGCAGAGTTAAAATGTTTCATACTATTCTTACTATTTTTGCAAAGTACAAACGTTTCATACTATTCCTGCTATTTTTGCAAGCTAAAAATGTTTCATACTATTCTTACTAATTTTGCAAACTAAAAATGTTTCATACTATTCTTACTAATTTTGCAAACTAAAAATGTTTCATACTATTCTTACTAATTTTGCAAACTAAAAATGTTTCATACTATTCTTACTAATTTTGCAAACTAAAAATGTTTCATACTATTCTTACTAATTTTGCAAACTAAAAATGTTTCATACTATTCTTACTAATTTTGCAAACTAAAAATGTTTCATACTATTCTTACTAATTTTGCAAACTAAAAATGTTTCATACTATTCTTACTAATTTTGCAAACTAAAAATGTTTCATACTATTCTTACTAATTTTGCAAACTAAAAATGTTTCATACTATTCTTACTAATTTTGCAAACTAAAAATGTTTCATACTATTCTTACTAATTTTGCAAACTAAAAATGTTTCATACCATTCTTACTATTTTTGTAAACTGAAAATGTATCATACTATTCTTACTATTTTTGCAAAGTAAAAATGTTTCGTACTATTCTTATTATTTTTGCAAACTAAAAATGTTTCATACCATTCTTACTATTTTTGTAAACTGAAAATGTATCATACTATTCTTACTATTTTTGCAAAGTAAAAATGTTTCATACTATGCTTACTAATTTTGCAAAGTAAAAGAGTATCATACTATTCTTACTAATTTTGTAAACTAAAAATGTTTCATACTATTCTTACTATTTTTGCAAACTAAAAATGTTTCATATCATTCTTACTATTTTTGTAAACTGAAAATGTATCATACTATTCTTACTATTTTTGCAAAGTAAAAATGTTTCATACTATTCCTACTAATTTTGCAAACTAAAAATGTTTCATACTATTCTTGCTATTTTTGCAAACTAAAAATGTTTCATACTATTCTTACTAATTTTGCAAACTAAAAATGTTTCATACTATTCTTACTATTTTTGCAAACTAAAAATGTTTCATACTATGCTTACTAATTTTGCAAACTAAAAGAGTATCAGACTATGATGAATATTTGTGTAACGATCGTTGAGATGTATGAAAAGATAATACAATGATCTCGAATCAAGTAATTTGAGATGAGATGAAGTGACAGGAATATGCAACTTGTATCTGTCCATTATTCTAATCTAGCCCGATCCTACTGTACTAAACGCACGTCCATACATCCTTCTGAACTAGTTAGATAGGGTATCACTTATTGTTAGTGGATCAGTGATGCTTTATGAATGCCAGAGATATCTGGTTACCAGGAATGTAGTAAATGTAATATGGTAACTTGAAGACTTTGGCCACAGGCGAATTGCAGTACAATACGACACAAATGTATCTGGAACTTCAAGATCGATTTAATGTATCGAAATGAATTCACAATTACTTGTGCGGAAAACATGATTGACGTATTTAATTTAAATCAGGATTTATAAATAATCTTGTATTTATATACTTTAATTTATAATAAAAGTGTCGTGCAGTTTCGTCCTACAAAATAAATAATAAAAATAAATATGTGAATAATCTTAGTGCCTCTTTACGAATGCTGTCAAATCAATATTGATTTCAAAATCTGAAGTCGAGTGCTAAAATCAGCCCTCGAGTATTCATTAAAAATTAAATAGTCAAGCGCAGAAGTTCAATTTCTTCTAGTATATTAAAAATACGATAGATTAAAAATTTACATAAGTATAGAAGCCAGAACTTGTTAGAAAATCAGGTAATTTTTATGCAAGTACTTTTAGTTTCCGTGTACTTTACGGATGATTGTAAGAAGTCCATGATAAAAAAGGTATTCAATTATGTTTGATAAGAGTGTAATATTTGTACTTTCTGAAATATCAATTTACGCAAATAGATGAAAATAATTTAACGCAATTTTCTATTTACTCCTTATATATTTAATACAAAATATCCTTTGAGAGGACATAAAGTTCCGGATTTTTAGATTGTCTATCGTCACACGTCGATGAAAAGAGCGAATTGACTGTCTAATACGTTTATTTGAATGATACATCACACGTGTGGCCAAATGTTTCGTCAGATTTACCTTTCAATCGGTTGTTCGAACGAAATTAGCTTTTGAATAATGCATGCGAATCCAAGCAGCACGTTAAAGGTATAACATGATTTTATCTGGCATTTATGAGGAAAGCTGAGGATGCGTGTATGTATATGAAGACCGAAACGACAGGTTCCGGCCTTTTCTCCTGCCGTTATTACGTCGCCAGTCCACACGATATTTGCATCTGTATCGAAAGCAATAATAGTACGTACAATATGAATTCGATCCTACAATCGGGTTACATAGTATACAATTTTCAGTATGAAAGTTCAATATGATATACGCACCATTTCGGCAATAATTCTAAATGAAAAATGAAACTTTCATTCACCTCTCAGGAATATCATATCTCATAGGATGATGAAAGTTCATAACATATTCATTTATTTCGAAACGTGTTTATTATATTCATTTCAAGGTACATTTTTACAAATACTTGTATTCATGACTGGTCAATGGCAAAAATTCAATAGACATTCTTGAATTCATATATATGGCATTTATGCTCACACTGTATTGTTATTATGTTTCATTGTTCTTTTGTTATCAGTTATTGTTAGTCACCTGTTATTGTATTCGTTTCGTATGCGTTATCAACTGTTATTAATTAGGATTCCACATCTGATTGTCACTTGTTAATAATTATATTTCTGTAATTTATTATTAATTGTTGTTCATTAAATTTTTATATTATTACTAATTTCACTTTTATTTTTCGTAGTCACTTCTGACACTTTTGTATCTCACAATTTATTAAACTCGAATAAATCAAGTTTCATTCAGAAATTAAAAATACGCGAAGTAAATTTAATTTTACTCCAAATATGTGAGAGGAAAAATAAGTGCAATTGAATGAATTGTACAATCAGTTTTTCTGTATGTACTTGCAAGTTTGTTCTTACTGAATTTGTTGTTAGTGACTTTCGTTGTCCACATTTTTCAAATTCCTGCACGTATGGAAAGTTATAACGGTTCGAATTGCCTGCACTAGGATTTTAACTGTAGTACGTTCATAAATACTTATGTATACATATATCACGTTTATTGCCTTTAGCTAGGTATTAAGGTTCTTAATAACGTCCACAGAAAAATATGAGCCAATCTTTCAAATTTATAGAAAAATTATGACTCGAACAATATGGTAGTCCTTTTCTAAATATGTGCACAAACGCTTGAAAACAAATGTAGCTCATTTTGAGAATCTGTTAACTTAAATAAAATCATGTCACTGTCAAAAATCAGTACATTAAAATCGTTACTGTAATCTTTAATTTAAATATGAAAGTCACAATTTTACTTTAGAATTTACATTTACATATAATTTAATTTAACGTGCTATGAAAGATACACTTCGGTTTCTCAAACAGCGGATCGAAGTGTCAAAATTTTCCATGGGAATCAACGGACATAAAATTTATTTTCTGGCTGACATTTGAACAGCAAAAAGTTTTCATAGATTTAAAATCGATTCAATGACATTTTCAACGCTATTCACTTCCAATCACACTTCTCCTTTCATTATTTTGCTTTGCATCCACGTAGCCTTTCCATTCGTCGAAGATAGCACCCATTGCTCGATAGAATCTCGAATCTTACGAGCAGGAGAACGGAAACGTCCCTGAATGGTGTCGATCTAAACAGAAATCACGTTAACTTAGACTGCTGTACGACGAATACTAAAATAAGCCAGACACGGGAACAAGCTGGTCCATCTTCCAAACTGATTGAACTATTGTGACGTCCTTTCTGGAAAACCTGAGAAATTTCTAGACATATCTCGTACAAGATATGACAACATCTGAAACGATTAGCGGATCAGTTTCTTATGTGTCAAGTCGATTTAAGTTGATTATTTCGTTGGACTTATTGTTCATTCATAGCAACGGATCATATAAGTATGAATTCTTTAATTGTTCAGAATTGTATCTTCATTGGTTACTAGTACATCTGTCATTATATACTGGAGTATCTGTATACATAGAACTTGGTCCCACGAATATAATATTTCCTGAACCATTTATCTTTGTCTTCTGACATTTCTCTAGATCTACTTTGGTAACGGAGCTGTAACCTAATTCAGTTGAATCACTCTGTATATTTACGTATGAAAAATTATATATGGCTTTATAGCGTTCATAAAACTTGGTCTCACGAATATAATATTTCTTGAACCATTTATCTTTGTCTTTTGACATTTTTCTGGATCTACACTGGTAACCGAATTGGCAACCTAATGTAGTTGAACTGGCAACCTAATATAGTTGAACTATATTACATATTTATTTTTGAAAAATAATATATAGTTTTTCAGCGTGCAGTCGGATAAAAAGTCTATAATTAAATTTAACTTAATAAACAATTTTTCTGTCATAGGTTTTTCACTGCAATTTTTGTAGTGTGTGCACATAATTCTTATAGAGCTAACCAAGATGCAATTTCAGATGTGAAATTTATGAAATTATGTCAGCAGCTTTTGAACATAGTGTTGTTCAACATTTTACTATATATTTTGTATTCAAGATTATTTATTATTAAAATGGTATAGTGTCCTCAATTACTATTTTCAGTGTATATTAAAATTGTATAGTTTACTTTTTTGTACTAGTTAAAAACTTAGTTGAGTAGTGATTTGTTTGAAGGGAGATACTGAAAAAATGTGTAATTAGTTCCAGGAGGAAAGTACGAACCAATACAGTTGGAGAATGCTTACAACGTTCACATGAAACTGACAATAAGCTCTGTTGGTCCGTCTGACTTTGGAACTTACAAGTGCATATCCAGAAATTCATTAGGAGACACTGATGGCACCATTAAAGTTTATCGTAAGTTTTATTAAACTTGCACTATAAATAAACTAATAATCATTAATTATTTTCAATTATTTTCTACATATTTCTTTACAGTTAAAACCTGGATTCTTCTTTGCACATAATTTTTACGTTTAATAATGCTTAGTTTCATATTTAAATTATCAACTACTTTTCTCTGTTTTCAGCAATTGCATCAAATACCAGTAACGGTAATACACAATACAAAGGTAAGTTTTACCGTTCTTTATTTTATACCATTTTTAGAAAATTGAACATTTTAATGACTCATAAGTTTGTAATTCAATACTGTCCTTATAATTTAATAATTTGTAACTTAATTTAATAATTAAGAAGTTTAATAATTTTAAACTTCCATAATTTTTTAATTTCACAAATGAAAGTTTTAATTATAATTTAGTAATATAATAATTGTTCATTTTGATTTTAATTTAATAATTAAATAATTTTAATCATAATTTAATAATTTCATAATTTCAAGCGTAATTTAATAATTGATTAATTTTATTTATAATTTAATAACCGAATCACAAATACTCACAATTTAACAAATTAGTAACGTGAAATGTTCGAAAAGTAAAAACTAGGAAAGGCACATCTACTCTGTTCATTCAATCACATGAGAGGTTGGTCAACATCAGAATCAATATATAGCTCCAACAGCACGATACATACTTTACAACTCATTCAATAACATATAAGAGTACACGTTCCCTTCATATTTTAATTTAGATGTAACAAGCTGACGAGTGCTTCATGTCCTCACTTTGAAAATTAACACGTGATTATTACACGACGGATGAATGTTTGATGGGATGCATTGAGGAAAGCAGAATTTCGTGTCCATCTTTTGTTGGGACTCAGTCAAAAGTACATTCAAGAGTATATTCAAGGGTGTATAGTGGATTGGCATGCTCAAACTAGACACTCGATCTAATTAATCAGCGACCCGTTATTTCATCGCAAGTACGTTACGCTGCATCATTCGTGAAGTACCACTCGACACAAAGCAAGCGGTAACATAGGCCGAATGTGTTCCTGATTTCTAGCTCGCGTTTCGAGCGTGAAAAATAAAGTACCACATCGGATAATAAACGTAGAACACTACTGTCAGAATAACGAACGGAATCACGAATCGTTGCCCGCTGCCTGGCATTCTCGTTAATTAAACCATACCGTATTTTCATCAAATAAATGATTTTTCCTCGGATACAAATTAAAAAAGAATTATGCTACAACGTATATTATAGACAATTTGCACGATAATTATCATCAGATGTGAATGTACAATTTGTTATGTCATCTTTTAATTTCGAACATAGCTATTTATTATACATTATCCATACCATATGCAATTCGTAATTTTAAAATTCGTATACTTTTACTATTTGCAAAGATAAAAATATTTATTCATTTCGAGTTTGACAGCAGTAGAAAATTTTTGTAGGAAATTTATTTTTAGCTAACTAATTTTATCAAATATAATTACAATATTTTGTTATATATATTCATGTTTTCAAGTAGTTCAATATTTCGAATTTAGTGAGTGAACAAATTTTTAATAACACAGGTGATTCATTTTTTCAACGTCACCCATATATGAATTTTCTGACAGTCAAAGTGTTAAATAAAATATTAAAATATATTACTATAATGTTGCTGCACGTCGTGTTTCATTCATAGAATATTGCATTCGTAATTTCGTGTACTTCTTTGCAAAGGCACAGCGAAATATTTTTGCTCACCACACAGCAATAACCTAACCTAACTATTGGTCCATTAAATCATTCCCGAATGAATTTAAAATTACACAGAAAAATTAAAAATTATTTAAATTTACAGAGTTCCAATTATTTGTTAAAATGTCAGTTTTATTAAATTAACCTTAAATGTATAAAAATATTTCATTAATTTTAGTTCCTTTATCAAAGGGTGCATTTTCTCGTAGCGTTCACTGAACCTTCTTTCTCTACGCGTGAAAATGACTATAAATTATTTTCGAAGATTCCAGTGTATTCTGTACTATTCATTCGAGAAAAAGGAAAAGCTAATTGAAGCTTGCCACTGGAACAAAGTGCACCGCAAACTGTAAGTGTTCCTTCGCTAAAACTCACCGCGGAAAATGAGGTTCCTTACCATAGCTTCTCCAGTGTAAATTAAATCCATCTGGACCATCAAGATTAAACTTTTTCTCGTTGGAAAAAATAACTTTAGAAGAAAGTTTCAGTGAATAAATATTACACGCAATGCTGTATTCCGATATGTTTGTTTTAAATTAATTTATATGATCCCGGTTTCTGTTCATACACAGTCGTATTTCATTCTATTTTATGGCATATTATATATTTAAGTATTACTGTCTTTGTCGGTCGATAATCAAATTTTCTTTAAGAATATACTGGATGATCTAATGAAACATACAAATTTAAAAAATTTAAAATATTTTTTAAATTATCAAAGTTGTAAAAATTGTCACAATTATAAAAATGATCAAAACTGTCAAAAATAGTCAAAATTGTTGAAATTGTCTAAATTGTAAGAATAGTAAAAATTGTAAAACGTTCCAAAATTGTTGAAATTGTCAAAATTGTAAGAATAGTAAAAATTGTCAAAACTGTAACAATTGTCAAAATTAAGAAAATTGTCGAAGTTGTCAAAATTGTCAAAATTGTAAGAACTGTAAGAATAGTAAAAATGATAAGAATTGTAAAAATTGTAAAAGTTGTAAAAATATTTCTCTGCAAAGAACCCTGAAGTATCAATACTCTGCAACAAGTTGAAGCAGAGAATTAAATAACAATAAGAAAATACAGATACAAGAATAAAAACGGAAATCATTGATAGTCATGATTGTAGAAAAAATGGCTCATCATTTGTAATACACATAGATCTTAAGAAATGTAAAAATTGCGAATAAATACGATGAAGTAAACAAGTACTGGAGAAGTGTATACATCCGTAACATAAGTAGTATCGTATGAGTAATTAGGTAAGTAGAATAGGGAGGCGGGATTCCTGTACGATCAGACAGGTTAAATGAGGTCGTGGGGTTGTAGACGATCAGACAAGCCGAATAGGGTTGGTACGTTGTGTTAGATAAGAGGAATAGGGTCAGTTCGTCGAGCCAAACAAGTGGTATAGGTCAGACAAATACATTAAATTCTCTCTACTTGACCGTCACGTGACTACTCTCTAATTAGCAGTCTATTAGTTCTAGTGCAATTATCTTTCCCTTCTTTGTCAGCGACTTTAACAAAATATTTGCCTTCCATTCTTTTTTCTTCCGCATATTCTATATTTGATAGTTTTGAAGCTTTCATACAGATGGCACTTCGTATTACGAGAGGTCCTCCGGAAACAACCAACATTAATTTGTTGTGCCATCACGATGAAATGGAGGATAGTTACTTAAAACGATGTAGAGCGCTTAGTTGAAACTAAATTAGTCTAACAAATATCACGAACATAATTTAACGAAAGAGATGAAATTTATTATTAATACGTTTTCACCCTGTTGACGAGTAATGACCGTCATAACTTCGTATGTTGACGAATAATGTCCTCCATAACTTCCCATGTCGATGATTAATGTGCGCCATAACTTTGTATATTGATGAATAACGGCGTGTTCAATTAAACATTACTGACTGCAAGATTTCTCTTATTTTAGCTTCGGAATAACCGTTAACATTTTTTGTGAGTTTCAAAAAATTTGATATGACAAAGCTTCTGCAAAATTCAACAATGTCATTGTTACTGAAGTAATTATGAAGTTAAGCGTCAAAATAATAATTCTGTTAAACAAAGGAATGAACATTTTTTAAAAGAAGAACGTGTTAAATCAAATAAGCAGAAAATTGATTTGTAGTAACTTTGTATTAAACTTATTTACTGTTTTATTTAAGTATGTATTTATGCACGTTTATGCATATGTGTCTGAGGGTTAGGTTAGGTACCAATGTTATTTACGATGGGGCGTGTGTATAATGCAAATTGCCGATCAACACATTCGCTGATATCCGAAAATTGGGAGGGATGTTACATGTGCCATTGATTCAGAGTCTCAGATGTATACGCACATACACACATGAACGTACGCAGAGGAAATTGGATTCTAGCGCTACTTTAGCAACAACGGTGTGTGCAAAATAAGACACTATAATTAACCTCTGAGCTTCCTTTAACAGTAGAACCGGACACAATGACCAGTTTCAGGTTTTGCGGATTATGTTACAAAATTTTGTTGTTGTCTTGTCGAAAGTTTTGTCACATTTTGTTGAGATAATACTTGCTTATTTATTCTTAATTTAAAAGTGTTAATTCTGGTAGTTATGATGTTAAGTAAAAATATGACATAGAGTTGTAACAATGTTAATTTTGGACATTGGTCAAATAATATTAGAAAAATGTTTAGTTTTATAATTATAAGGTAAACATTTTTCAAATAGTATTTGACGACTGTTATGTAATGCTATATCCATTTGCTATTATGTTTAAATACAATTTGAGTGTATATTTGACTCCAAATATTTCTATAGATTGCTTCATTATTTGGCTAATAAACGAAATAACTTTTTGTTCAATTTTTCACTTTATGTTTGATTCAATTTTTATCGAAACAATTGCCCAATTAGTTTCTAATCCGTTTTCATCAACCTTGCGTCAGAAATAAAAAACATTTTTGGTAATCAAATAAAACAGAAAATTAATTGGTATTCTAATCTTAGTAAATTCATTTAAATAATATAACTAACATTTTAACATTTTGACTGTGGTAATTCTAAATTAAAGATAATACTAACAATTTAATTCTGTAATTAGTTATATCAAGTTCGAATAAGTCTTCAAAGTTTACTTTCAACAGTAATAACAATAGTAGATGATGAAGTTAATCAAAGTATGGTAATGATTTAATCTCTTAATTAAGTATTTATACATTGTTTTTATTTAGTTTACGAATGCTTTGCTATTTTCTCGGTAAATACTTTTCTCTCGAGTTTAGTTTCAATACAACTTTGTACAAAGTTAACCGCCCGATTTCCATCCAGACTAACTGAATTCCAATCTACTTTTTTCACCACTACTTTTAGCAGTTAAAATTTTCTCGATAGCCGGTAAGTTGCAGTGTTCGATTTGGGAGAGGTCTATTATGAAAAGTTTTAACTAAATAAACAAGTTGGACTTGAAAAAATAATCAAATGTTATTTACGTTCTAAACGTAACATGAAGTAGATATTATTTCAATAACAGAATTTACCAAATCTTAAATAGTTTCAATTTTAAGTTTAAAAAAGAAATAAATTAGGATACTATATTTTGACATTAAATTTAAAAAGCAAAGTTTGAAAATGAATTTTAATACCAAAATTTGACAGTAAATTTGGATACTAAAGTTTGACATTAAATTTTGGTACTAAAGCTTGACACTAAATTTAGATACTAAAGTTTGACATTAAAGAACAACCCCGTACAAAAAAGTATTATACATATAAATATTTAAGGGAGTTCACCCTTGGTAAATAAACATACCTCGAATAGACATACATAGAGCAAATATTGGAGAAGGAGGCTTCACTTGCTATAATACATGGATGTTATCAAGTATTATGCTTAGTTTGCACGAAACATTTCCGCACTCGACAGGCGATAAAATTATCTGGAGTGAACATTAACACGCTAGTGGTGAATTCACTCTATATGAGTGGTGAGTTTGCTCTATATCATTTTTTCTGTTAGATTCAACATTGTATATCAGATGAACATTAAAATCGTGGGATTTGTTAATAATCAAAACGAAATTAATTTAACAATCGCAGACATTCGTTTTGAAGTACGTAAATTGTTAAATGATTTTGTAGAGTTCGAATTCAAATTGTGGTGAAGGGAATACGGACATTATAGACTATAAATGAAATTATTTCGATAAAATACGTATAATTTAAAATAGTTATTTACAATCACATATTAAGTTTGAGACGAATAATTGACTCGCTCTATCTATAAATATTTTATGTAAATAGGTTTCCTCATTCAACGAATAACTCAATTTATCAGTAAAATGATATGCTTTTAAGGTGGATATCTTCATCAGCCTCGCTCCTAAAGCAAATTTTTTAGAGTTTGTTCTTAATATGCAATCTTCTTCGGACAGACATCTGATATGCTTTCGTGTCTATTATCTACTTCGTTTTCTTTGAAGCAGTACCATGCAGAGCTTCCTTTCAGACAAATTACTATTATATTTTCCTTAGAATTTTCTTTGGAAAATATATGAAAAATGATCTCATATTTTTATAATCTTTCATATTTTGATTTACTAATATTAATCATAACTTGATTTATCAATGTCAAGAAAAAATTATCTTTACCTCTAGACGTAATATTTAAACTCTTTATATACAAGTCAGCTAATAATCGAAACCTAACCTAAATAAATTCCACAAATTTAAGAATTTTTAAGTGCACAGATTTTCTTCCGTAAATATATTTAGCTGAATTTGAAATTATTCATTACTTAAGTATTCCCTAGATGCAACCAAATATTAATAGAAAAAGTGATCAATCCAAAATTTTATTGAAAAAGAAATAATTTCGTATAAGTAGCTGTACCGCATATTTAAAATCCGATCATATTCTTTGTAGACTTATGTTCAAAACGTCAAACATAATTAGACTTAATGGTTTCTTTAGATCGAGACTGTTTCTTAGGTTATTTTCAGACAGTTTTAAAGCGCCGACCAAACGAAGTACTGATTGTAAAATACGGCTATAAACAGTGCAAGTCGAAACGCTATAAACTTAGTTATAACGTGTCGTAAAGTAAAGGTTCCTCCTAGAAAAATTCCAGTTAATCAAGTTTCACTATATTGTGTACGTCGATTTCAAACGAGATGATCGTTGATATATTTTAACGATTTTATTATCAACGAAGTAACAATGTTTTGTAATATTTTAAAAACGGACAAAACAATAAAAAATCATGAGACAATAATATCTGTTAAAAGACATACAGTAATATCAGCTAAAATAATTTCATCGATGCTCTCTTGTGTTTATCTTAATGAAAAATCTGGAATTTATTAGAGACTGACCATCCATCTACATTTGTGTACACAGTGAAAGGTGAAAAATCGATATATGCAAAAGATTTTGATGCTAACAGATTGAAAGGTGGTGTTGTGTTCGATGGAAGATTTATAGAACCGTTTCGTGCCATAAGTCAAATTTATATTGACCTGCATCCTCTCTTTTCTGCAAAAGTACCCAGCCTCTGAATTTAGGGCAGATGTCACAATATCCTGCAAATGTACTCACGAAACAGAATGTATGCACTGATCAAATACAGCAGTTTTAACATATAATATACACTCTATAATAATATTGCAGAGATATACAGAGTTTGGACTAAATGGAAATATTTCTTACAGTATAGTTTAAGTAAAATATATTTAAAAAAGATATTTCAATGTATTATTCTGTTTTAATTATTGCTTAGCAGTGTATTTTAATTGTATTATTATAAGAAACATTTGAGACGACGAACTCTTTAAATAAATGTATATTTTTATTTATTAATTTATCTCCGGAATTACAGGTTATTAAACTTTTGATGCTGTTGAAGAATTGATATCTCCGAGACGGTTTAACTTAGAGAAATATCCTGCAATCGATATCTACACTAAACTTGCTATAATTATCTTCATTAGAGTATCAAGCTAGCTATAGTAATTTCGGAGATATGGAGACAAAATATCCATATAAATTCATTTGTTTCAACGATATATTTCCGTATCACCATTGTAAATTTTTTTCAATATAATTTCGTATCACCTTTCTAAATATTTTCAATGTTTCTTATGACATACAAAGATTTTTTAGTGGATTAGAATGTGGTTATACGTTGTAGCCATCCGCTATTTTGTCTAATTCGGTACACTTACTGTTTCCGAATACGAGTGTTTTACCCGTCATTCGTACACATCACGCTTGTCTATCACTATTGTCTAGATGACAGCATAGAATCGATAAAAAATAAGAGAAATCGAACGTGCGAGGAAAATAAATGTAATATTGGACTTTTATGTTTGCTGCGCCTCTACACCCCATGGAGCAGGAATACATCAAGCGTCTAATGTGTTAACAATTCAAATATCAGAACTCTGTATTTTTAAGATTGTAAAACTTCAAGTCTTTGATTAGTTCATATTTCGAAGCAAATTTTCATTTGTGTACAATCAATAATCTGACTTATAATTAAAATTGACATGAAGCATTTCTAATATGTTGGGAGATTTCTCCCAGACATCCAAATGAAAGATGTTCTAAAAATATTTGTCATGGAAACTATAGTTATTGAAATAAAATGTACACTTCTGCATTCAGTTATTTCTGCAATTCTATTTATAGCAGCAATATTATTTTTGCCTGTATAACTCGTAGACCCGCAAAATTTTTAGCGTTTAAAGCATGCGATACAAAAACCTCGCAGAAGATCGATTGTATAATAATTGAAAAAGAGACTGAATCGCTCCGGTTAAAAATCATCGAAGAATAATAAAATGACGCTGTGCCAAATTCACAACTCGATTTTTTGCACAAAAATCGTTGCCTCTGAATTTCGTGTTCTACAGATGAACTGTAGCATATAGCATACGGTATATAGCGAATCCTCTTCTTGTTCAGAAAACTCGTTATTTGCAAACCTAGTGGATTGCCACATCATTTCAGTGTCGTGAAACTCATTCGAATACGGCCGTTCTGCCTTGCTCAAGCGCCACTATTTCGTTTTTCCGCTTATTTTCTTTTTTGCGATACTAATTTTCATTTGTAACACCTAAAAATCTTCTCTACTGATTTTAATCGTATTCTGATTGAAGACAGCTGCGTATTGATCGTATTTGATGTTTCACAATGATAGGATGCAAATAAGCAACCATCAGAAATAACGTTAAAAATGAGAGAATAATGAAACATAGTCTAGTCTTTTATTATGCATGATCTTATTTTTGATCTCTCTTGTGTTGCAGGAAAATTTAGACACAATTCGGGGAATGATATTTTCGAAGGAAATCAGGACATGCTAAAGGAACGAGGTAAAGATTAATTTATAGAAACTATATTTACTATGGTATAAAATGTATTTAATTTACTATACTTGTGATTGCTATATTTACTTAATTTTTTCCCAAGACGTGAGTTATATAAATAATAAAAGTTTGTGATTTTCATAAACATATTTCTAATTTTTTTTAATATTTGTCAAGCACCTAAATTACTTATATTTATGTTTTGAGAAATTCTTGACTACAAAAAATTTGCGTAACACAACTGATTTTTATGTTATTAAAATCAAATTGAAAGGGTTTTAACATTTTTAAAAATGCAAGACAAAACTTTAAATGTATATAAGAAAAAACATAATAAGTAAACATAGTTGAAGATTTAATAACATTTTTTTTTTCAAATATTTCCTCCAACATATTTTGTATTTGTCAGAAATATATTTTGTTACCATGTAAATTCTGAAGTTACTGCAATTAAGCAAAGAGTAGACGGCCCCCGGCACTTAAATAAAACAAAAATTTTATAATCGATAAATCTTAATGAAATCATTCCTTCGAGAAATATAGGCAACAGTTCCCTTCGTAATAACAATAAAAAAGCTGAAACGTATTCCCCTCATAAGTTCATATAGAAAATCTATAAATTTCAGTCTCCGTTTTTAAGCAATTAAAATCTGACGGTCAGTTCCGGGCACAATATTCAGCGATCGTTTAAACGTTGTTTACGCTCACCTACATCATAATAAAAATTTAAATTTAACAGATCAATACCTTTATATTCATCGAGTTTTCAACCTTCATTGTGCTGCATTTTGTTTCTTCGATAATTCCTTTATAAATCGTGCATCGTTTTGTTACGAAACTCGATTAAAAAGACTTTGAATAAATTAAGTTGTGTAACTTTTAATAGTTTTTTTTTACATGTAGTTTATCTTATTAAGACAATTTTTTAATTTCAGTTACAATAGTAAAATCAGTTGTTCTTAAAATTTTTAAAAAACTTGCCCGAGAGTATTCATCATTACGATGTTTAATTATAAAATTATAATTAATTATTAATGCTTAATTTAATATTTTTAACGTTAACATGTCAACATATCAGGAATTTAACTAAAATCTTGAGATATAGATTAGGAATTTTCAATGTTAAAATTAACATCATATGTTATACCATATGATGGTATCACTGTTAATTGATTTGACTATTGATATCCCTGGAAATTGATTTCACTGCTGATGACATCATTGGAAATTGATTTCACTGTTGATATCAGTGGAAATTGATTTTATTGTTTAATTCGCTTGCATTTATTTCTCATATTATTAATAACTTTCAATTGTTATATTGCATGAGAAATTATCAAAGACAGATATGTTATATAGACACATTTTTAAAAAACCTTACAAACCGCTATGAAATTTCATTAACATTTATTTAGACTAAAAATTTATTTATTTACAAGTTTTTCTTTTACGTATGACCTCTGTAATAGGTATAATTTCAAATTAACGTTATGATCAATAATGTTATGAATAACGTTATGTAAAAGTCAATGATTATAGCAATTGATAATTAATCTTTCTTTCCATGTATCGATCAAATAATAAATCTTATATCTTATACCTCTGTTTTAACGTTATAAAATAAATATCAAAGTTCGTAGATAAAAGTTGCATTACAGCATGGAATAAAATACGCGTTAGTTTGAACAATTTTCGTAATTTTCTTTGCGTCCGTTTGCGAGGAGCAAGCGTTGTAGTAACACCTCAATTTCCTTTCGCAGATCTGAAGCTACGAGGTCGTAAAGAAACCACCGGAAATGAAGGCGACGATTACGATGATTCTGGAGTGGCGTCGGAAGAGAACTCTTTCAGCTTGATTTTCGCTTTGGTTACACTTATCATTTATTACCATCATCATCCTCAGTTAAGAACACTCCACCCTGCTTGAAAATTTCACCGTTCACACGCCAACTCATCGTCGAATTCCTCTATTGGTCGCGGCTTGTGGAAAATCTGTAAATTCACTTGGAAATCCATCGCTCAGGGACTCCGCTCGAGGATAAATCATCGAGAATCGTGCTGACCACTTACACTGTATTATAAAGCATTGTCATATGTAACGATATTAGCTGTTAATTTAGTCGACTAAGTGTAACACATTCTTCGTTATGGAAAGAACACGCAGCGAGCAATAAGTGATTATCTTGAGATGAAGCTATTGCTGGAATTGAATTAACTGTAGATCGATGGGTACACGGTACAATCGTAAAATTGATTCTTGTACAAAAGTGTATTAGACATCTACAAAATCTCTTCGAGGAAATCTATTTTTAAGGAAATCGAATATTTGAATCGTACTGTAGATTACTACCATTTTGTTTTGTTGTCCTTTGCTCGAACCATTTTACTTTGCTTGTATTACCAGCTTGTTTTGCTCATGGTACCACTGTTTTCTTTCTGTTTAACGATCTTACTTGTTTATTTCAGATATAGATGTGTTTCAAACATGAATAAAATATCCGTAAAGCGTATAAAAAGCTGTTTGAAGCAAAGAGAAGGATTTCAGTATATTTTTATTTGAATGAATTGATTAATGTTCGGATCTTGTGTTGCATCCTTATAAATTTTTAAATTACTTATGTCTGTATAAGGATTGAATTTCTTTTTATGTTATTGTCTGTATTTTTGATAACTTACTATTATTATAATTATAATATTATAATATAATTACTGAAATTATTATTCTACTGCTTTACGAAAGCATTGTAAATAATATTCAGATTAAATAATGTAATTTAATATTCTTCATAACGAAAACGAAGAGTGAAATACTCGAAACGTTGCTGAAATTAAAATAATGTAACTTTTAAAAAAATTTATATACTTAACTATCTGTGAGTTATAAATTATTATATTCACAAGATTGGATGACAAGTTAAAAGTTATATAAATTGGCATAGTTCTAATAAAAATTCTTCCAAAACATAGAAACAGGAATAAAAAAATTTAAGATAATTGTATTATAATGTTATAAAGCGAAAGAGAGGATTAAAATGCAACCAACGAATGAGCCTAATTAGCATTCTATAATATTGAACTACTATTTATCTAATAATAAAGCATTGTGGCGAGAAATTTTATTTGACATTTTCTATTTATTATTATAGAATCATCAGTTTTACGGTTGTACCCCTGAGTACTGTAAGGTATGATCATACTCAATAAATCATGATGGTACTCAAAGCTAGTCAATATGAAACCTAACTCTTTGCTAGTACTCATGTAGTCATTTATTTGAAAGTTAAGTGCCATTTTGCTGTGTATAGCGTTCGTTTTTTATCAATGTCATTTTCAAATCATTCCACTTTTGTTTCTTGCAAACTAGAATATTAAGAGTGCTTTACTTACTATAACTTAATTATAATTCATTTAGAATTTTTAAGATATTCAGGATTTTATTAATCTAAGATTCATTTAATTACAACTTGGTGTTTATTTACCGTAATTTAATTATTAACGAAGCTCTCTAAGGAAAATGAAAATTACTTGTTTCTCAATGTATAAAGTATTTCGCGAAGAAAAGCATGAAAATGAAACAAAGAGAATGTAGAATTGCGGTAACTTTACATGTTATGTAGGCTTTCTCTCGAAATGTGTTCAAATTGTACTCCAGTTCGTCAGTTTGATAAGAATTCACTGCAAGCATGCTTTGTTTCAAATTGGTTCCTATGAAATCAAGACATATCACGTTTCACGTAGCCAAAAAGTCCACTAAGCAAACAATTTAATTACTTATGTTTTAGATTAACGTAATTGTAATAAATATACTTAAATTTGTGAATATTATGGAATTAGAGTCGCTACAAGCTAGTCTGCCAGAAAGAGTACATACTTAACTATACTTTAGATCAGACTCTATTAATTTTTACAATTTTAAATGCGTTATTATTATGGTAACATGTTCTTCTTTTCGAAATATACAAATAAGTTTAATTTTCTTTTTTCATTAATAAATTTTATGTACTTCATGTCATTTTACAATTGTCAATTGAGCACTGCTGTTAATCGAAATCTTCAATTAATACTCAGAACCTTTTTTCTGGAAATTATTGAAATAAGTAAAATATTTATTGTAAATTTTAAGAAATGAATTGTGATTATCAGTGAGTGCTAAAAGCATCGAAATTCATATAACTGTACTGATATTAAATATACAATGTAACTTTGCCATACTTCGTCTTCATGAAATACAAATTCGTTATATTTACATTTATAGAGAACAACTTTCTTATATTTTACATTTATAGAATATAACTTCATTATACTTTATATTCATTCTTTCATACCGCACAAACTGTAATGAAAACGAGAATATTCTCTTTCTGGCAAACCAGAGTCGAATTTCGGTAGATTTGATTTTAAGAAAATTATTAATACAGGATCGTTCGAAGAGGATATCGATATTTCCGAATTCCGGAAAATGTATAAATTATATCCAAGTGATAAGTAATTTGTCCGAACTTAATCTCTCTTATATTCCTTACAAATTCTATGTAGAGTTCCATATCTCTTAAAAATTTTTTATAACTTCAAAATCTCTTGTGACATTTTTGGTTAATTCATACACCTTGCACAAAACTCCAACTACTGACAAAATCTTATCAGACAATATTAAACTTCATGTTCAATTCATAAATCAAGATTTAGACTGAAACGTTAAAATTATCTTCTTATGAAATTATGTAAAACAAAATTTATTTAAATAAGAAAGTTGAAATCTGAATTTGATTTGTAGCAAAGTATGTTTTTTCGTGTATTAGCTGGATTAATCGGAGAGATTGCTTATCATTTGACACTCTTGCGAAGTTTGAAATATTTAAAATGTGAAGATACTCTTTTTGAATCAGCCTGTATATAGAGACTGTATTTGTAAGCACTCGATAGGGAACGCTTAATAATTAGTAACAGCCGCTTCGGCGGAAGCGTCCAATGTTTGTACCAAGAACAATGTAACTAAATATTATAGTAACGAACGAAATAACTATGAATATACACATTAATGTATATGTACATATACACTCGATATATGCATATTATAGCTGGTGCATCTGTATAGCGTATCTGTGTATATAACTATACATAGTGTGTTAGAATAGCGTTGTCCAAAGACTGAGAGTATCATTTCGATGCTCTTAAATTGCATTAAGTAATCTGTGGTTGAACTTGAATATCTAAACTGACCAGATTTTCTGATAGCAAATTTAGTACATTTTTATTGAGAAAATAGAAAGAACGGAATATATGATGAGATCAAATTATATTTTCATTTAACCCCTTAAACGTTATGGTTCATCGGTAAAGTACACAATAAAATGTTTTTTAGCTATTGATACTTGAACCAAATTGTACGAAATTTTAGTAAATTTAGGACATTGGTCTTTCGGAAGAGTTGAACAAATTGAAGAATCTGCTACCTTGTTATATATGTATATTGTATAAATGTAGATGTTACATACATTACGTTCGAATCGTCTAAATATAAATACGGTGTAATTGCTTAAGGGGTTAATCATTCTACTTCACGAATTAGAAGAGTTAAACGAGCTGAGTCTTATTACCTATTTTGAGTACTTATTAATACTTATTGATACTTAATGGTATTTATTTCAAATAATCGTTTTAAATTCTTTTTTCTTTAACAGCAATCGTAAAGCTAAATTAAATTAAATCTGAAAAGTTTACATTAATTCTAAAAATTTTGTCTGTACAAAATTTATTAATTATTGAAAAGAATTTTTAGTTGAAATGCCTGTACTAGAAATATACAAGATATATTCAGTTTCTCTAATAATTAGCTCACATATCTTTGTTCGCGTTTAGAATTATTTTTCTGAATGCTAATAGTCAATAAGGTACAGTGAGATTCAGAAAAATCTTTGAAATTAGTCTGTTCGTTGTACAAAGACCATGAAAACCATGGATCAATTGGAAGCATAAAAATAAAACATTTTTACTTTCATTATAGTGACAAAAGAGTTATTGTTATACTTCAGCTATTACTGGCAATAATTAGTTTTGTAATTTCTAAGACATCGCACAAAAGAACACTGTCAAAAATAGATCATTTTTAAGCGCATTACAAATTTGTGTTTTACAGTCGAATCACTTATTATATCATTTTTGATTATTAGATTCTCAGCGCCATATTGGAACGAACTTTCTAAAACAATTAGCATTGTATTTTAGTGTCCTCTATTCTCATGTATATAAAGATGCAAAATAATGTAACAAAAAATGCATTTAATTAGAAAAAGTTATAATTTCTGTAAATAGTAGATTAAAATGGAAGCTTAAAATATTTCTCCAGAAAAATCTTAATCTCAAATAAATAATCCCAGTTATCCTAAGATTTTTAATTCAAAGGAAATGTCTATTTTTAACATTGTTCTTACAAATATATTTTAAGTTCCTGAATTGCGACAAAAAATAAGTGGAATTTGGATGAAGGTCATAAAATCAGGCTTGAAATTTAAATCTGGCGAATTGTTAGAATTGTTAGAAACGCGGAGAGATATGTGAAAACGTTTTAGAAACATTTTTATATGGAAATTACAGTGTACAATAAGGTCCGTTACCAAAGTGAGAACTACACTTTTGTACACAACCTCAAAAAATCTAAACTCAATTATTTTATTAGTAGAAATTATTTTAATTGATTATAATGTTCTTTCGAACAGTTAATTATTTCACATGCATAGAATTTATAAAGTTTCATGCGTCTCGTCTGCTTTTATACGAAACGATTTTGTTGTCAAAATAAATTTCAACATAAACTCACTCGAATATCTAAAAATCGAGTAATTTATATTCTTAAAATCAGAAAGTATGTGATAAATATTGTATTGACATAATTTGTTTGATTATATTTCAAAAACACAAGTTTCTTTTGCTAAAGGCTATACATAGCGAAATATTGAATAAATTAATTCAAGTTTTTCTTAATAATCTGTAAATTTCGTTCGCTCCCCGTATTGTACATATCGATGTAAACAATCTTACAAAAACTGATTACAACGATTTTTTAAATTCTTCTTTATTATCTGAAATTATGTAAAGTGTTCAGAAAAATTAATTATACTAAATAATAAACTATTCAAAATAATTTAATCACAGAACGAAAAAGTTCATTCAGAATAATTTAACTATAAAGCGCAAGAAGATTTTTCTTACAAGTGTTTTTCATTACAAATTGCAGAAATGTTTAACAATTAATTTTCATCACAATATCGAGTAATATGTATTTTATATCGCATAATTACGAATAGCTTTCGTATTAGAAACTTTTAAAGTTAGATATAAGCTGTCGTTTCTTCGCAGATCGAATATTTTTAGACGATTAAAATAAAGATTTATAAGTTTTTAGTATAAATCTCGATCCAACGATTTCTACATTTCATATACGATTTTTACAGCTTACGAATTAGACTATTAGTTATTTTATGTTAAACGGAACTTTTAGTAGATAGATTCGATTAGAATATTTACTGACAAATAAAACTAAATATGTGGTCGTAGTACGTATAATATAAATAATATTGTTAGGTAATAAAGTAGAATCGAGGAATTGTTGCTAACGTTATGT